ATACAAGCAAATGTTCAATTCCGCTCAATTGTATCACCACAGAGAAAAAAGTAAGAAAGTTGAGAAGTGTGTTTTTGTGCAGGGCATTGGGAAAGTTCACTTAGAATTCTTTGGTTTAAGGTTCTAATTCATCCCCCTCTCCCCCACCCCTCCCCCTTATTTTTTGGTTTGAACTCTAGGCCTGGGCGCTGTCCCTGAACTTTTGGTGCTCAAGGCTAGAACTCTACCATTTGAGTCACAGCTGTACTTCAGCTTTTTGTGATTAACTAGAGAGAAGAGGCTCAGGGACTTTCTTGCCTGGGCAAGCTTCAAACCAAGATCCTCAGATCTCAGCCTCCTGAGTAGCTAGGATTACCAGCGTGACAAGAGTGAAAGGTTCTTACACCGTCCATGTGTGTTAGAGATTTAAAAACTGAATAATTTGCTAACAACTTGGGTGTGCTGTCCAATGTAAGAGATGTATAGCAAATGGGGTGTTTGTTCCTAAAATTATTCTGGATAAAAAGGAGAGAATAAAGTAAACAAGATTAGCTAATAAGGGACTGGGAAGGTGGCTCAGTGGTAGAGTGCTTGCCTTGCATGCCTGAGGCCCTGGGTTCGATTCCTCAGCACCACATAAGCAAAAAGCCAGAAGCGGTGCTGTGGCTCAAGTAGTAGAGCACTAGCCTTGAGCTGAAGAGCTGAGGGACAGTGCCCAGGCCCAGAGTTCAGGCCCCACGACTGGACTCCCCCCCCCCCCCAAAAAAAAAGATTGGCTAATAAACAGAACTGTTAGAACAAAGATCCATTAAATATGCAGATATAAATCTTAAAAGAATAAGGATCTAAACTCAGAAGGACAAGAGTCAGTGTTGTATATTTTTATGTTCATTAATTTTAGGACGCATACTGCACTGGTGTTTTCAGAACTTCCCTGCAGCACACATAGCTGATCCACCAACTTCCTCATATTCTGACACGGGCCACACTGCACGTAGGTGGGTCACCACACAATTCGGAGGCAAAAGAGCAGCTATTGGATTCTGGAGCCTGACTCTGGACAAGGGTCTTCTTGGCTTCAGTTTCTGTGTGTACCAAATGAACGAAACCATTTCCTATCTCCTAACGTTTCTGTGAGGTTTAAACAGCTAGTACTTTAAACGTCCTCAGAACTACAGCCTGGCCCAGAGGAAGTCAACGACGCAGCAACGGAAAAAGCCAAAGCACTGAAGAGAAACGCTGGAGGAAAGCATCTCAGCGTGTTACTCACTTCCGGGAAGTCCTGAATCTCTGCAGGGCAAGCAGGGGTGGTATGGCAGCAACAGGTTCTGTGAGTAGAATAGAAAAGGGGCCACCACTGCTGGCTGCCCCTCCCCCTCCCCCACACACCTGTCTTCTGGAAAGCAAGGAAGCTAGCAAAGAGTGACAAATGTAGTTAGTTTAGAGACCTGCCAGGAAGAACATGAGATCTGCATGTTGGCTGCTGCATGAGTTACCAAGAGGTTGTTCTGTCAGGGAAATCTCCATTACTACCTCGGTCTGCTGGACGCCGCCAGCACCAATTCCACTAATGGGATGGTGAACACTACCAACCCCTCCACAGCCAGGTTTAAACTCGTGTTCTAAAAGGGTTGTGTTCAGAAATATGAATGCAAAGTCCCAAACAGTGCTTGGACAGATGCAAGATCAGCTTACTGAGATCAGCTAGCTAAGTCAAGCCATGTTTGACAGCTATCTCGATCCCAGATAAGTAACACAGTTAATACCTTGTCCCTAAAGATACTTAAGAGTTATTTGAGATAAATGGAAGAATTGAAAACTCTATTACAAAATGACCAAAAAGAAAGCATGCCAAGTACTCTAACATGAAAATTAAAGACCATTCGATCTCAGCCTAGACCAAGTGCACCCTGAACATGGTTACTATTTTCTCAAGCAGACATCCAAACAGTAATAATAAAGCAGTTTTCTGGGCCAACCTTTTAGGGAGCGTTTTCACTGATTTCCCAGCATCTACTCCTTACCAGCTGTTTAGGAAGTTAATTATCACTGTCTCCCCGCAGTCCTTCCACCTCTCACCACGCCATGACTGCATATAAGCAGCAGCCGGCTTACTACAAGTCAGCCCACTGGGAGCCAAGAAGAGGTTTGCTAGGGGACCTTATGGGGGGAAAAAGTGCTTGACTCTAAAGAAAGCCATGAAAAGCCAGTCAGAAACAAGAAAGCAGAGTTCCAGCATCTATGACATCAGCCATGTCACAGGAATCCAGGTCTTCAGGGGGTAGTTTCTGTGGGTGGCAGAGTACAGACATTACAAAACCTACATAACCGGTGACTTATCTCTGTGGTTCCTGTTATATGAACTACCGGGTTTCCTTAGTATTGAAACCTGTGTGTGTGTGTGCGTGTGTGTGTGTGTGTGTGTGTGTGTGTGTGTGTGTGTGTGTACACGCACATGCCAAGACCGGGTTTCCTTAGTATTGAAACCAGTGTGTATGTGTGTGTGTGTGTGTGTGTGTGTGTGTGTGTGTACACGCACGTGCCAAGACTGGATCCTGAACGCATGCCTCCCACTTTTGCTTGGCTTTTTCCACACAAGGCTGATGTTCTACCACTCAAGCCACACCTCCACTTCCAGCTTTTTGCCAACTGAACATAAAATCTCTTAGGTTATCTGAGCTAACTTCAAACCAAGATCCTCAGAGCTCAGCCTCCTGACCAGCTAGCATTACAGACGTGAGCCACCAGTGCCCAGCTTAAACCAGTTTTATACTGCAGCCCAAAGCATCTGAACTCACACATTTTATCTCTTACGCTACAAAAATTTTACACATGAACAAGTAAATGTTGATGAGTAAAACAATCCTGCTTTTGACATGTCTTACTAGGACAAACAGATTGCAGATAGCTAAGTTGGAATATTCCAGGAAATGTTGTAATAATGTTATTATGTTTCTCTTTTAATATTTAGCAATAAAGAGCAAGCTGACAAAAATTATTAAAAAAAAAAACCATGCCCATGTAATTGTAACCCCTCTGTACAGTATTTTCACAATTAAAAAAAGAGATACAAATATCTATTTCCTTTGATAAATTAAAGAAGTTATTATAGAAAAAGAAAAAACCAAACTCCCAATTTAACAAAAATTTTACTTTTATAGCCCTCTTCGTTACAGACCATTAATTACATTTTAGGGTGTAAAAATTTTAACTTTTAGGCCCTATCATATTCATCATGTTCACACAATTTAAATCACAATTAAGAGAGGCTAATTTTTTTTAACCTGGTTGAATTCAGCCTTGTAAATGTTTTTTTAAAAAACGCTTTAACACTTTAGAATTTGCTGACAACAGCATGGATTGAATATCACCCACAGAGGGATCACTAATATTTATCCATTAATTATATTACTAGACTGGATAAAGTGTTAAAATACAAATGAAGATGCTTCTAGAAAGTAGTGATGTAGCTGGGCTCTGGGGCTCACACCTGTAATCCTAGCTACCCAGAAGGCTGAGATCTTAGGATTGAGGTCTGAAGCCAGCCAGTGCAGGAAAGTTAGTGAAACTCTTATCTCCAATTAACCTCCCCGAAAAAGCCAGAAGTGGAGCTGTGGCTCAAGTGGCAGAGCACCAGCTCTGACCAAAAGAGCCCAAGAACAGTGCCCATGCTCTGAGTTCAAGCCTCAGGACTGGCACCCAACAAACAAACAAAGTAGTGCTTTAAACACAACAGCAACGAAAGACCAGAAGGTCATTCATTAACTCAGAGGCACCTCCAGAAATAACTCATTCATAAAACTAAAAAGGGCCAGAGAAGGCAGTGGGAAAGATCCACCCAAGGTCCTTACACGAAGGTCCAGATCTCTAACACGTGTACACAGAGATCAGTTGGTATAAAGGGAAAACTGATTCTTTCATCGCGATCACTTTAGGACTTACAAACTGTGCATTTAAAATTACAGAGCTTCCATATTTTCCCAAAGAATCGGGCTTGTTTCATAAATGCATCTTGTGAGCATTCCACTTGTGTATGTACTCTGTAAGCTAGGCCCGGGGCTGCAAAGAGAATGTGCAAAGAGGAAGCTGTGGAGGGGTCTCGGGAAGAAGGCAAATGGACACGTGTTACCACACAGAGACCAAAGACGATGACCTCTTTAAGGAGAGGTAAACCCCACCCAGCTGTAGCTACAACAGGCCAGAAGCCCAGCAGGCCCAGCTGGTGGAGTGGGAAATGTGGGTGGACTTCCTCCCTAAAAGTTAGCCCAGTGCAGCTGTGTGCACAACCAGGCGGGGCTCCTCTATTTTAAGGTGTGCAGCTCCAAATTATTTCCGAGTTGGTCACCGCTGGCTAGTGTCTGGGGCTGAGTCTACAGAGGCTGTGAGGTGGCCAAGCAGCCGGTACCACCCCGCACTGTGCTCTCCACTGCCTAAGTACAGTCAGTCCTGCACAGTCACAGGCTGGAGGTCCCAGAGGACGCACCACGCAAGGGCGTGGTACAAATAAGGAGATGGCCCTCATCCTCCTCTGCTCCCCGTTCCCCCCAGAGCACACACACTAGAACCAGAGGGGATGAGACTCCAGGACTACCGTGCTCTGGTCTGCTCAGGAGCGTACGGAACTTCCAAGCACTGCCACCCTATTGTTAACACCAGAAAAGTGCTGCTGAAATAAATCTGAGAGGGAAGGGCCACTCAGTTCCCATCTGCATTCCAGAAGGTTCCAGACATCTAAGCAGGGAGAATGTGCACCCCGGTTACACAATTGGAGCTGGATTTTCAAATGCAAATGCCAGACTGTAAGAAGACACACCCTTTCTCTGTAACTAAAGATAATTTTATCATCAAAGCTCAAAGCAAGAAATCACAACAGCACAGATAATACAACCCCAGGGCAAAGACCTGTCCTGATTGTCAGTTTATAGCTATTTTTTTCCTAATGCTATCACAGCTGGCAGTCCAAAGTATTAACTCCTGTTTGACAGACTCGATTATTTTAAGAATAAAAAGAACACACATACCTTCATTTTCAGAGGCAGGGCATTTCACTTTCAGTACCAAGTCAAAAGTCCTTTCTGGATTTTCCCTAAAATTAAAAGAATGTGGTTATATTTACTTCCTATGACAAAGAAACAGTTCTGCAATGCTTAGATACAAAGCTATCTACACAGGGGCAGGGTTGTTTTGAAGTCCAGACTAATAAAGTATTCTAGGTAAGAGTCTAACTACTTTAATCTGAGGTCTCTTTAACAAAAATCCTAAAAATACCCCTGGGCAGGGATGGTGATTTACAGTTGTAATTCCAGCTACTGAAATCATAGAGATAAGAGTTGCAGTTTGAAGCTAGGCTAAGGTAAAAACTTGGCAAGAGCCTTGGTATGCTGGTGGCTTGTAATCCTAGCCACTCAGTAGGCTGAGATCTGAAGACTGCAGTTGGAAGCCAGCTGGGCAGGAAAGTCTGTAAGACTCTTACCTCTAATAAACTACTAAAAAGCTGCAAGTGGAGGTGTGGCTCAAATGGTAGAGTGCTAGCCTTGATCTAAAGAAGGTCAGGGACAGCACCCAGATCCTGGGTTCTCAGCACAAAATAGAGTAAGATAAGAAGAAGAAGAAGAAGTTAGCAAGAACCTATTTCTATTAACAAGCCATCCATTGTGGTATAGGCTTGCTGTATAGCTACACCGGAGGCATGGATAGGAGGTTTGTGATTAGAGGCTGGCCCCAAGCAAAGAATCCTACATGAAAAAAAAGAAAAAAAAATACACCTAGGGCAAAATTGACCAACATGGGTACATCTGTCTAGCAAGCATTTAGAGGCTTTAAGGTCAATCCCCAGTACTTCTAAAATATGAATAACAATAATAACAAAAATAATTACCTAAACTTTTTTTTAACACACTGTCATGATGTTATTTGGGGTCAATTAGAATAAAATGATTTTGTTTAAATCTTGCTCGTGTCAATGAATTTCACATAACTTTGTGATGATGCAACTGTTTTTATCAGTTTGCCAACTTAGAAGTGACACTTAGGAGTTGTGGGGCAGAGCACTGAACCTCTCCGCCTCTTCTCACCTCACCTTAGCGTCAAAGCAAGATGATAAACCAAGTACTCCACGGGCAAGCACTCTGTCAGGCAAAGCTCTGCTTACAGAGCCAAAACTGGAAGGCCAGCACTTCCCTAAGTGTCTTTTTAACACACACACACACACACACACACACAGAGCTTAATCCAGGCTCTCAACTGTCCTTCACAGAACAGCAATTCCTGGCTCCCCCCCCATCCCCCCACCCCCCCCCACCCCACCCCCTGCGAAGCCCCAGCCCCCATACTGCTGGTACAGAGAAAGGCACCGTGTACACGCCTCTCGGCAGAGGTGCTCATGCACACACCTGCTGGTTGAACTCAGGGCCTGGGCTGTTGTCCCTGAGCATTTGTGCTCAAGACTAGCCCTCTACCACTTGAGCCACAGCTCCACTTCCAGCCTTTTCAGTGGTAAATTGGAGGTTAAGGGTCTTATGGACCTTCCTGACCAGGCTGGCTTCAAACTGTGATCCTCAGATCTCAGCTTCCTGAGTAGCTAGGATTACAGGCACACAGCTAACACAAGCATGCACAAAGAAGCAAGCTGTTACACGCTACAAGTCTAACAACGACAAGAAAATACTATAAATAAATAAATAATCGCTTTTACCACATTATCTCAGGGAACTAGCCAGCTGCCCCTACATTGAATTTTCCCACCAGGAAAATTATTCAGAAGTCACTCGCTTTTTCTCTAACTTCTCACACAAGTAACCTACTCACTGATTAAATTTTCAAAAGTGAAGTGCAATCTATGCAGACCCTTTTATTTTTCAAAACACTGTCCTGTTATATTTGCTTTGTATCAGAAGCTACAAGTTTAAGCCACATTTTGCAGGTATAGTTACCCACCTGGCCGCTGAGGCCTTAGGTTTGATCCCCAGAACAGGAAAAAAAAATTAAATAAAATTAAATTCAGAAGGCAAAGTCTTGACACCACCATGCCAGCGGCTAAACACAGGAATCCTAGCTGTCCTGCTAAGCAGATGTCAATGATTTTAAATGACTTTTTTTTTTAATTGGAGATGAGAATCTCTCAAACTTTCCTGTCCCAGTTGGATTTGGCTTCCACCCATGATGCTCAGATCTCAGCCTCCTAGGTAGCTGGAATTACAGGCCGGAGCCACCAGTACCCGGCACAACGATCACTGTTTAATAGGTGCTTTCTGGAAGCAGCTAATGCCAGCCCCGAGGTGTAAATCAACATGTCACACCGCACACAGGCAGAGCTGCAGGAGGTGACAGGCCACACAAGGTCGCTTGCAAAGGGACATTTTCTCAGTCTCCCACGGTCGACCTTTTCCAGTGGGAATGACCCGGACTCGGGTGATTTCCTCTCACATGGAATCAAGGCCAGAAAGTGACCTTGCGCATTCTACTCGCCCGCTGCGGTGCGGGTGATCCGGGCTGGTGCGTGCAGAGGCTGAAGGCCGGTGACCCGTGACCCCACCGCGATTCCAAAGGCCTTTGTGGCCACACTTAGTGCGTGAAGTGTGCGGGGCGCGGTTGGACGGGGGGGGGGGGGGGGGGGGAGGGACTTCTTTCCGGGGAAAGTTGCCGCTGAGAAATAACCAAACGCGGCCTCTACAGTGCCTGAAAGCCAAGCCCCCCCCTATGTAAACTGCTCTGCACCCCATCTTTAGTAAGATAACCGCAGGAGGTCCTGGGAGCTGACTTACCAGGTGCAAGCCGGCCCGGGAGTGGCAGACAGACAGACAGGCACACAACAGGCAAGCAGGCCGACAGACAGACAGACAGACACACACACACACACACAGCAGGCAGGCCGACAGACAGGCAGACACACAGGCAGACAGGCACACAACCGGCAAGCAGGCAGGCAGACAGACACAGACAGATACACAACAGGCGGGCAGGCAGAAAAGCTGAGGGACAGTGACCGGCTGCCAGGCGGAATGACTGACGGCCGGGCCGAGGGCCCCGCCGGGGGGCGGCCCGGGGGGGAGGTGGGAAGCCGGGGGGAGGCCGAGGAGAAGCCGGGGGGAGGCCGAGGGCCCCGCCGGGGGGAGGCCGGGGGGAGGCCGAGGGCCCCGCCGGGGGGAGGCCGGGGGAGGCCGGGGGGGAGGGAACCCGGGGGGAGGTCGAGAAGCCGGGGGGAGGCCGGGGGGGGGAGAAGCCGGGGGGAGGCCGGGGGAGGCCGGGGGGAAGCCGGGGGGGAGAAGCCGGGGGGAGGCCGGGGGAGGCCGGGGGGAGGCCGAGGAGAAGCCGGGGGGAGGCCGGGGGGGCGGCCGGGGGGGGGAGGCCGGGGGAGGCCGGGGGGCGGCCGGGGGGGGAGGTCGGGGGAGGCCGGGGGGCGGCCGGGGGGGGAGGCCGGGGGGCCGGGGGCGGCCGGGGGAGGCGCGGCGCAGGCCGCCGGCCGCGAGGGCGGCTCTGTCCCCGGCGCCCCGCGCGGGCCCGCGGGCCGGGGTGCCCAGGCCGGGGTCCGGCGCGACCGAGCGCCCCGCGGCGCCGCCCCCGGCGCGGTCCCGCCGCCCGGCCCCGCACTCACTTGGTCCGGCAGTCCATGGTCACATGTCGCGGCGTCGGTCCGTCCGCCCGCCCCCGCCGCCCGCGGGCTAGGAGGCCGCAGTCGGCGGCGTCCGCGGCCCGGGTCGCCCCCGCCGCGCCCCGCCCCGCCTCTGTGACAGCAGCGGCCCGGGGCCGTCCCCGCCCCGGCCCGGCCCGCCCCGGCCCCGGCCCCCGCCAGCCCGCCGCCCGCGGGCCTCGGGTTCCGCCGCCGCCCGCAGCGGCTCCGCCACCTTCCGCCGACCAGGAAGTCACCGGGAGGGGGGGAGGGGAGAACGAGGGGGAGGGGAGAAGGAGGGGGAGGGGGAGGGGAGAACGAGGGGGAGGGGAGAACGAGGGGGAGGGGAGGGGAGAACGAGAGGGAGGGGAGGGGAGAACGAGGGGGAGGGGAGGGGAGAACGAGAGGAGAGGGAGGGGAGAACGAGGGGGAGGGGAGAACGAGAGGGGAGGGGAGGGGAGAACGAGAGGGAGGGGGAGGGGGTGAACGAGGGGGAGGGGAGAACGAGGGGGAGGGGGAGAACGAGGGGGAGGGGGAGAACGAGGGGGAGGGGAGGGGAGGAGGGCCCCGCCCCCGCCACCTGGGGCTTGGGAACAGGGTCAGGTCTAGCCCTGTCCCCTCCCTCACCCCTGCAGCCCCCTCCCTCACCCCTGCACCGTCCCCTCCCTCACCCCTGCACCGCCCCCTCCCTCACCCCTGCACCGCCCCCTCCCTCACCCCTGCAGCCCCCTCCCTCACCCCTGCACCGCCCCCCTCCCTCACCCCTGCACCGCCCCCTCCCTCACTCCTGCACCGCCCCCCTCCCTCACCCCTGCCCCGTCCCCTCCCTCACCCCTGCAGCCCCCTCCCTCACCCCTGCACCGCCCCCTCCCTCACCCCTGCAGCCCCCTCCCTCACCCCTGCACCGCCCCCTCCCTCACCCCTGCCCCGTCCCCTCCCTCACCCCTGCAGCCCCCTCCCTCACCCCTGCACCACCCCCTCCCTCACCCCTGCAGCCCCCTCCCTCACCCCTGTACCGCCCCCTCCCTCACCCCTGCAGCCCCCTCCCTCACCCCTGCCCCGTCCCCTCCCTCACCCCTGCCCCGTCCCCTCCCTCACCCCTGCACCGCCCCCTCCCTCACCCCTGCCCCGTCCCCTCCCTCACCCCTGCCCCGTCCCCTCCCCCAGCCCTGCCCCGTCCCCTCCCTCACCCCTGCACCGCCCCCTCCCTCACCCCTGCACCGTCCCCTCCCCCAGCCCTGCCCCGTCCCCTCCCTCACCCCTGCCCCGTCCCCTCCCTCACCCCTGCCCCGTCCCCTCCCCCAGCCCTGCCCCGTCCCCTCCCTCACCCCTGCACCGCCCCCTCCCTCACCCCTGCCCCGTCCCCTCCCTCACCCCTGCCCCGTCCCCTCCCCCAGCCCTGCCCCGTCCCCTCCCTCACCCCTGCAGCCCCCCTCCCTCACCCCTGCACCGCCCCCTCCCTCACCCCTGCCCCGTCCCCTCCCTCACCCCTGCAGCCCCCTCCCTCACCCCTGCACCACCCCCTCCCTCACCCCTGCAGCCCCCTCCCTCACCCCTGTACCGCCCCCTCCCTCACCCCTGCAGCCCCCTCCCTCACCCCTGCCCCGTCCCCTCCCTCACCCCTGCCCCGTCCCCTCCCCCAGCCCTGCCCCGTCCCCTCCCTCACCCCTGCACCGCCCCCTCCCTCACCCCTGCACCGTCCCCTCCCTCACCCCTGCAGCCCCCTCTCTTCCTCACTCCTGCAGCCTGGTCTGCCTCTGAGATAGGCACAGCCCCCCTCCTGGTTCCAGAATGTTCGCTGTGCACCTGCTGAACAGCCGTTCCCCTCCACCCCCACCCCATGTGCACATGCAGGGAGGGACGTTCCTGGGACCTGGACTAACTCTGCTGGGGATGCAGCCGGGGGCCTGGGCAGGGTGGGCGGCGGTGTGGGGAGGTCACCCAGAAGTAGGTGGTGCCCACAGCCACAGTACAGTCCTAGTCACACCCAGACACCCGGACCGGATGGATGGAGGGACTGAGCCCCAACAGCAGGCCCGCGTGGAGCTCGCTGCCTGGCTAGACTACCACCTCCTCACTCTGAGCCCCACCTAGGGCCTAAGAGGAGAAGGAGAGCTGAGTCTGGCCATGGACAGTCAACACGTTGTCCAGCCGCGGGCTGCCGGGCGGCCTCCCGGCCAGCCCTGCCAGCCTTCACCTAAGGGACAGCGATTGTGCCCCTGCAGAAGGCAAGGAGGAGGGAGAGGCGTGTCGGGGGCTGAAGGCAGCAAAGGGGGGAGCTTAGAGAGCCTGTTCTGCTCCACTTCAGTGACCTTAAACGTCCTTGTCAACATTGGTTTACCGTCGTCAAGCAAACAAGACCTACTGCGTCGCCCTGATCTCCACAATCAAAAACGAGGACAGGGAGGCTTGAACAATTCAACAGAAGAGCCCTAGTGTACCCTGACGCATTGTCAGAACTGCACGTGGGGTGAGACGGTTAACGTCGGTTCTCGGGTCCTGCATTCGTAACACGGTAGTCATTTCTTGCCTATCATATGGACTGTGTGATGTTGGAGTTAAAAGATTCTACAACGCTGCAGGACCGACTGGGAACTTTTTCCTGTGAATTTCAGTTTCACAATTAGGCCAAATCCACCACCTAAGGCTGTCTGTCCCAGAGATAGCTTTTCCTGCTTCAGGAGCTAGCACACCCTGAGCCTTGAGATCAATTCTCTAAACTCAAAACCACTTCTGCTCCAAGTATGGTTGAGGGTTTTTGAACTTCTCCTTTCATTATAATTAATTCTTCTCCAAAGGAAAGAACCTTGCTGAACATGTCTCCGTATACATCATCAGTTCTTAAACCATTCCCGTCATGGTGGGAAGGTTTGAAGTGACAGTCACATCCCCGTAAAATGTAAAATTGTTCAGTTTATATTAAGTGTACAGAGAGAATACTACACATGCGCACACTGCCATGAATCTTACTAAATCTTCCTTTGACTTTCATTAGAAGCTTTATCTAGTCTGCTTTAGAGTTAATTGAGCAGAATCACAGATGGACATGAGTAACATGCACAATTTGTTGGAGACTACTAGGAAAAAATACCTTGAAATGTACATGTATCTTGGTAATATTTTTATTGAAACCAGTGATATAATTTTACAAAGGGCAAACTTTCAAACTGCTGTTGCATCTTCTCAAACATGTGTTTCAACCACAATATTTCCTCCTTGGACATCAATATTAACATGTTCCGAACCACTGTAGTCTAAGAACAAAATCTGCATTGTCCCACAGCATGGTCTTTAAAGTACCAGGGCTTTAAAATGTTTTACAGACTTATTTTAATATTCTTGGCTAGAGAAATTCAGTAGTAGCCAAGAAACTGTGTCTAACACATGTAATCCAAGCTACTTAAAAGGCTGAGATCTGAGGATCACAGTTCAAAGCCAGCTAGGGCAGGAAAGTCTGTGAGACTATTAATCTCCATTAAACTACAAAAAAAAAGGGGGCTGGGAAGGTGACTCAGTGGTAGAGTGCTTGCCTTGCAGGCATGAGGCCCTGGGTTCGATTCCTCAGTACCACATAAGCAGAAAAAAGCCGGAAGTGGTGCTATGGCTCAAGTGGTAGAGCGCTAACCTTAAGCTGAAGAGCTGAGGGACAGCACCCAGGCCCAGAGTTCAGGCCCCACGACCGACAAAAAAAAGCTGAAAGTGGAGCTGTGGCTCAAGTGGTAGAGCCCTAGCCTTGAGCACAAAAGCTCAAGGATAGTACCCAGACCCAGAGTTCAAGCTCAGGAGCAGCAAAAAAAAAAAAAAAAAAAACCCACCAAGTTCATTAGTAAAGCAATTGGTACTATGCAACAGTCTCTGGATTTGATCCCGAGAATGGGAGGGAGCAGGGAGGGAAGTACTACAAGTCCTGGGTACCTTATTCTCACAATACATTCACGATCCAGTACGATGAGTAAGTTGTCAACATCCTTATTGCTCAATTACCACGTGCTTAACACAATTCAGTCAGTAGAAGATGTGAGTGAAGATATCCTAATACGTTGATAGAATCAGCTGCTATCATTTGTGGTTCTGTAATTTTTTACTTTCTATAGTTTGTGGCTATGTTATAATATGCATAGTATTTCATGGTTGTTACAGCCACCTACTGCATTGAGCTTTCCATATGTTAAGACTTAACTTTTCTTCTAGAAGCTAAAACTGTTTCCTTCTTTAAAAAAAAAAAAGTATTTGGTATTATATATCTCCTTTAATCCTTTTACACTTACGTGAGCTTTCTAAAGTGTTATGTTTTAGATTTATCCTGTGGATTTTAACTTCGATTTTTAGCCTGGTCTGAGTATCTTGGCCTCTTGGATCCAGCTCTCAGACCATTTTGTACCTATGACACTGCTACTAAATTGAGATTATTTCTTCCACTTCATGTTCTCCCCAGTCTTTCCTCCTAAGCCACGTTTTTCTTCCTTTCTTTTCTCCATCTTTAGGATTGCTTATTTTTCTTAATGTTTTCTCATATACTTTGCCCCAAACTAATAGTGATCTCTTCTCTATTCATTTGCTAGGCATCCTAAAAAGCAAATGCCAACTGATTAAATCCCAAGATTATCAACACATCTACTTCCTGCCAACAACCCAAGAACCTTAGAAACCCCTTTCACAATTACATTTGGTATGTTGCTGTATTCAGTCAGAGTCTCCTTGGATTATCCCATGATTTTTTGCTCCTACTTCTGCCTTAGATCTTGTATATAAAATAACATTATTTCTGCCTGGGAGATATGCTGTAGTTGATGGAATATTCTCTCACTTTTTGTTTGGCAATGTATTTCATCTTGATTCTTTTTTTTTTTTTTTTTGGTCTGTTATGGGGCCTGAATTCTGGGCCTGGGCACTGTCCCTCATCTCTTCAGCTCAAGGTTAGTGATTTACCACTTGAGCCACAGTGCCACTTCCAGCTTTTTCTGCTTATGTGGTGCTGAGGAATTGAACCCAGGGTGTCATGCGTGCAAGGCAAGCGCTCTACCACTGAGCCACCTTCCCAGCTCCTCATCATCTTGATTCTTAAAATTGTTTTC